GTAGGGCTACCATGCCTTGAGAAAGTGTGAGCTTTAAGTAAACTCTTTAACTGTGGTCTCCCCAGCCACAGATCAAGGAAGCTATGCGATGGACAGCATCAAAGCAAGGGGGTGAGGGAATAACCTCTTCCACTCAGGACAGTCGTGGAATCTTCAGTGCAAAGGAGGGAAGAATTGCAGAGCCAGATGCTTTGCTTATATTCCTAGTTTTTCAAAGCGTGCATGTAAGGTGGGAAATGATCCCACAAGATGCCCTTTCAAGGGAAGGGTGAGAGACTCACCCGCCTGTGCACAGGGGTCTGGGCAAACCTTTTGTTACCCTATGTAAAAGGATAAGAGCTTAACCAACATTACCTCTCTTGTACTTTAACAACTGTACATTACAAAGTTATGAAGGATCAAAACACATTGATTTAGTTATGTTCAAAGGGGACCATGGATGGATACTCTGAGAACCATAGAGCCATGATTCTTAAACTGGAGTGAGCATCGGAAACACCAGGAGGGCTTGTAAAACCCAGATCACTAGGCCTTCCCCTAGAGTTTCCAACTGAGTTCACACAGAAAGAGGCTGGGAAATCTGCGTTTCCAACAGACTCTCAGGTGGTGCCGATAGTGCTCCTGCAACTGCACTTAGAGAACCGCGGATATATACAGACAGTATAGTGTGGGGGTCTTTAACCCTGGCTTTGCATGAAGCGTTACCTAGGACATTTTTAAAAGTTCCTCTTACCCTGGCTACACCCACCACCAATTGATTCTTAATTTGAGGGCATGAGCCCTGACGCCAGTATTTTTTCTTAAGTCTTCAGGTGATTTCAGCGAGTTGGCAAGCTTGAAAACCACTTTGAGACAGACTTTGTGTCCGTAACTGGTAGTTAAGAAGATACGTTGTAAACATCTGAGCAGAATCATTGGTATACTGTGAGTCCTTAGTAAATAATTATTCTTTCCTTCCCTCATTTTCTTCAAGAGTGTATCACAAGAAATCTAATAAAAGGGAAATCTAATTATCTGCCAGAACATATACCTATAGTTTATAAAATACACTGAATTTCTGTCCTTGTGGATTATGATTTTAAAGGGGGACATAAAAATTTCAGCCATATTTGTCTATATTTTATGTGGGAAATAATAATGTTATTTATAAATCTAGAAATATAAAAAGAGTTGGGTATGTATCATTTACATACCGGTACATTGGAGGTGTATTTTATAATTAAATATGATTTCATTGGTATAAGTTGGAAGTCTTTTTATACTAATTCCTTCAAAAGGTGGGAAAGGGTATCTAACCATGAGGAAAGAAGGGAGATGAGTAGACCATTAACTCTGTCTAGGGCAGTTGTTGTCAAAGTATGGTCTCTGCACTGGCAGCATCAGCGTTTATGCTTAGAAGTAAAATTTCTTAGGCCCTCTCCCCACATGTATTGACTCAGACACTGTGGTGGTGAGACCCACAAACCTACATTTTAACTAACTTTCCAGGTGATTGTAATGCATGCTCAAGTTTGAAAACCATTGTTCTAAAGTATTTATTATTTCCACACATGGATAGGAAAAACTAAAGAAGAAAAAAGCACTGTTAGTCCACTGTGCATTTGTTCAGCTGCTACACAGACCCACATTACTCTAGGAATAGCACTGTTCTTTCAAACTCCACCCAAAGCTTACTGTCATTGCATCATCAGAGCTTAACAGTGAAGGGAGAATTAATGGATAGGGCGTATAAATCTTCCACTATCAGTTTGAATCTATTTCTGTTTTCTACTCAAGATAGAATTAAGACTATGTAACTTGACTTAAGAGGATAAGAACTACTGCAGGGGGCATCATGAGGATAAGAACTACTGCAGGGGGGCATCATGAGGATAAGAACTACTGCAGGGGGGCATCATGTGAGGTTGGAAGAAGGGAGGGTATTCCCAGGTCCAACACTAACCTTGAATTGTCCTCTTGAAGAACGCCTTGCAGGCTTCACACGATGCTACCCCATAGTGGTACCCAGATGCGATGTCACCACACACTAAACACAGTCTCTTGGGCATCGAGTTGAGCATGTATTCACACTTGGTCTGGGGATCTTCAACAATGGTGCTGGAGCAGTCATCATACAGTTTCCTGACAGGCCCACTACCTCCCAGGATAGGAGCAGTAGGGTAGAGAGGTGGCGAGTCAAGTCCGTTCTGATGGCCATTCATGGTTGAACTATAGCTCCCGCTGGCGTCTGAAGAGCCACCAGGGCTGTGGTGGTTGACGCTGTCTGTCAGGGAGGCTGGGCTGGAGGGTTCCGTCTTGATGAAGGACGAACAGTTGGAATCAATGTGTCGATCTTTGTTTGACATTCTGCAGAGAAGCCTGAGAGTTAGGGAGATACAAACAGAGAGAGAAAGAAAAGGAGAGAGCGTCAAACACAGAGACCCAAAGAGGTAGAAACAAAGAGATGGTGAAAAAAATAGAGAAAGCAAATAGGACAGGTAAAAGGAGGGGGAAAAATTGGAGAATTCATATGTTAAAGACATTGCTCTTTGAGAGTGCTACTAAGGGCTGGGGACTACACATCATTCATTCTCCAGTCAATATTTCTTGTTCTACAAGAAGGTAATCAGCATAAGGGCATGACAGGGTTACATCAAAGTGGCCAGACAGGCCGTAAACAAAAGCTCTAAAGGGTCCAATTGCTTTTATTTTACCTTTCTCTTGGAGAACCACTGTCAATATCTAAATCAACTGTCTCGTTTCTAAATTTGTCAATGGGAAGAGGTGGTGATTTATTTGCAGAGTCAATATTATTTCTAAAATTGTGTTCCTCCTCACCCTGCCTCTCCTTCCACATGCTGGGGCTGCAATCGTTTTATTACAAGCAGAATCAAACTTTTATTTTCTAGACTGAACAGATGATCCTGGCTCTGTAATTACTGTTTTTCAGCACGCTTCCATAAGCATAACTGTGTCTTTTATTGATCTGACTAAAACACATAGGGAATATATCCTCCATCACTTTGTTTCTTCATTTAAGTTGCTCTGTTCCATCACCACTTAGCAATATAGAAAGCCATCAAGTGTATGATTCTAGCCAATATTTAAGGATTATTTCCTAGAGCCTACAAAACTTAGTGAATGAGCACTACCATGGATTCATAAATAAGTATGTGCATTCGTGTGGTGTGTGATTTGCCATTGTTTAAGGGATGAATTGGGAAAAGCCATTTGAGCCTCTTCAGTGTACCTGTGAGTCCGTAAATCCGACGTTGTACTTTATATTCAGTAAAAGTGGAAATGTATCAAATTTTGTCCTGAAAAAGTGAGATTTGTGATGGCCCCAGCCCCCTTCTTCTTGTCTTTTGATGTCATACCTCCTAAAAGAGCATGATGCCCCATCTAATCTGACAAACTGTTTCTTTTATCTAGAAGAAGTGCATCACCTCTCTTTCTTTGTTGGACCCACAAATGATTGAATTTCTGGAAAGGTACTTAGATGAAAAGATTTAATTGGTCCTATTCTCCTTCACAGCCATAGTGCAAAACCCCTTTTAGGGACGTATCTAAGAACCTTCGGAGAGCGCACTGTAGAAAGAAAAGGGGGCCGTGGAGAAAGGGACGTGGATAATTGCTTCCCAGCGGAAAGGTGATTTATCAGAACCCCACCGGGTAATGGCCATTCACGAGAGTTTGGGGGAGTAGTCTCAGGCTAACCAAAGGGATGCAATTATCTCTTTCACAATAAATCTAATGATATTTCATAGAACAGTCTCCAGAGCAAAGTAGGAAGACAAGAATTTGCCTCTTAAGAAGATATTTTACTTTGGAAGTTTTGCTCATTTGCTAACATCACGCAATGTCAACGTGGAGAAAATAAATAAGAAGGAGAGAGCCGCCCAAACATCTTCCAGCCTTCGCCCACCCACTCGGGTTACCCTTTTGCTTGAGAACCAGCACAAGAAAAACTATCCCCCTCCCCGGCCTGAACTCCGGCGTCCTCTCCCGTCTGCATCTGCTGCCTTGTAGCCGTCACTGTTAATGAGTGTTGTAATTAATAGATCGCTCTCCTTGTCTCCAGGCTTGCACCCTGGGCTAAGCACTTTCCGCAAGTCAACGTTTGAAAGAAAGCGGGTCGGCACTGACTTACAGCAGCCCTGCGAATTCCTTTTAATTTAGAGCACTCACACCACCACTTCACTTATTACCTTATAATTACTGGACTGCTCGCACATACATTATGATCTTAGACTAGAGTTAGAAGTTATTAGGGTACTAAACCATGGTTGCTCCCCTTTCCTCTCTCTGGCACTGAATTTCTCACAGCGATGACAATTAACTCTTTCACCATCTGCCCGCCAAGCAGGGCTTAATTTTTTTTTTCTTCCAGAGAAGAATTGCTTGGAGCTGCTCGATCACAAAACATACTGCATTTTCTTCCAGCCCTCTTTTTTTTTTCTCCCTCTCTTTCTGCATCCTCTATCATCAATTTCAACCCAATTTTTTTTTCCCAAAGGCTTTTTCTCATGAACTTTTAAAAACTGCAGAACTCTGGATTTAAGGAACAAGGCCAGAAATTAGCTGCCAATTCATGGAACAGTTATTTGCTAAGTTGTTAAATGTTTATGTGTCACATGCGTGTTGTTAAAGTCCCTGAAAAACAGGGACTCTCCATCCAATTGTTTCATCCAAAATCTTTGTCTGTGACTTGGCAATAACCCAGACAGAAGTAAAGAAATTCAGGACAAACGAGCTTCCAGGGAAGTCCTTGGAACGGTGGCGATATTTTGTCCTAAATAAGATCTGCCCACTTTAGCCATAAATGAAAATGAACAAATCAGATTTGTGCTGTAGGCTGTGTGTGTGTTCTTTTTTCTTCCTGACATGAGCTCCTTCCTTAATTAATACCTTCTGCCCAGTGGAAATAATCAAGAGTCCGAATTGCCATTTATTAAGTGCTTACTGTATGCCAGGCTGAACACTTCACACACCTCACTGAATCCCCAAGAAATCGTAAAAGGGTAGTATTACTCTTTACGAAAAGAGTAAAGCCTCAGCCATTCTACAACTTGCTGAAGGTCATACAGTTAGGAAGCCACAGAGCCAGATTTGAACTCAGATCTGACACCAAAGTCCAGAGTAGAAATATCTTAAAAGTAACATAGAGTTCTTAATGTTGTTTAAATTCTTTAAAAACAGCCAAGCAAGTGGGGTAGAGGTAGCACACAAGGATCTGCTTTTACTGCTCAGCAAGTTTATCCACAGCTCACCGCTCAGTGGAAAAGAGCAGAAGGGGCCACCACACGGGTCCCAGGTCCAGCCTGTTGAGTCACCCAGGCTCTGGAGTGACGCCCAAACAGAACCTCTGAAAGAACACAGTTGTCTCCTAATTACTACTTAGCTCATACACTGAACACTTCCTAGACACCATTACATTATAACCTAAAACTACAGCGAGTCTTAATTCTCTCCCTCTCCGTCTCTGAAATTCTACAGCTCTATTATTCAAGCCTGAAATATTCACAACCATCTATAAATTCAATTGTCAGCTGGTGGGTTTTATTCTAGACTTCACTTCAATCTAAAATTAGAGGCACTAAAATTCACATTAACTCTAAGAGGAATGTAGTGAATAAGACTTTATTTCAAAAGAACACCTTTTTGTCAGAAAGAGCCATTTTCAAGATGATGGCTTTATCTGTAGCCAAAGAGAAAAGGCCCAATTCCACACTGTGCTGTTAATGCAGAGATTTTAAGCCACATTGGATTAATAAAAATCTAAATTTAGTTAAGAATTATGAATAGAAATAACATGTGTTGAAATAGGTGGGAAATATTTATTTTAAAGTCTTAGGCCAGTTACTTTTATTTTATTATTTTAAGAAGAATGAAGAGAGGAACAAGGGGGCAAGACAAGCTGCTTTCCAAAAACCTCTTCACGAAAATCCTGAAAATAAACTGAAAGGGCAAATAACTGCGTCAATAATAACATCTAGTTTCTATGCAGGACACCCAATTTGAAAAATTAAACAGCCTTCTTAAAATTTCAGTGCTTTAAAAAGCATTTTTAACACAGTTTGAGATACCAAGTCTCCTCATTCTGATCCTCACGTGTCAACATAGGACCTTGTTTCACAGCTGTGCATAAGGGGCCAGCAAGGGTAAAAAGGATCTTAGGTGTCTGATACGAGTGATCAGGCAAACAAAACTTGTTAGCTGAACTACTGAAAGATGTAATTTTTGAAAGTTAATTAACCACATGTATATGTGTGCATCAGCAAGACAGAAAGTGAGAGAAAGAAAAAGAATCAATTAAAGGTGCTGCTATAGAGGAAAACAAGAAGATAATCTGTATGTTAACATTCAATTTGTATTATAATTATCAAGCCTAATTACTCTAAGAGATTCTACCTAGATCCAGGTAAATGTAGGACCCTGAATGAATGGCTGTGAGTTTGAATTTCCACATGCACATATAGATAGATGTCCAGAGTGGTCTAAATGTAGAACCCTGAATGAATGGCCGTGAGTTTGAATTTCCACATGCACATATAGATAGATGTCCAGAGTGGTCTAAATGTAGGACCCTGAATGAATGGTTGTGAGTTTGAATTTCCATATGCACATATAGATAGATGTCTAGAGTGGTCTACATTTCAAAGAAAGGACTGATTAAGCTTAGCCAGTTCTCTTACTTGTTAAATGTTGGTTTAACGCTAATGTTCTATTGGATTATTATAAATCCTTTCACTGAAATATAATTTCTTAACAAACA